CACCCTATAAAACGGGTATCTGTGGCAGTGTGGGTAATGTTGCTCTCCTCCGTGACTTAGGTTCACCGGTGCCCACTGAATAACGTTGAATGGGTAACACTTCCGGCATCTTCCTAGGCTAAGAACGTGAAAAATTAAGTGCCTGCCGTTAGGAGAATCTACTGAAATCTCCGAAATTTCATATCTTGGTGGTTAAATAAGATCTCTTCATGTGCATTAATATTTTGAATAACTAACCATCGATGCGAAAATTTTGAATGAAGTCGGACCCTTTAATGTTAATTTTACTTTCGGCGTATTTCGCCTGCATCGAGAATTTTTTAATAACAAAATTTCAACCACTCGCCTGAACAAATTATTGGGACCATGTTCCCCAGATTGTGTCTAGTTTGAGGAATGAAAATCCGCTAGAAAAAAAAGGCAAATTTATTCAAAGGAAATACGTTTTAGTTTGTTTCGTAACTTAAAATATCGTCTGCCCTAATTAATTAGCATATTCGAGATCACCCCGTGAAACAATAAGATTGAATCTTAGTAAGTGAAAAACTCGTCAACAGAATCCAAAGTTATTCAAAACGTTCCATTTTTTTGTATGCGAGCCAATAATTTTTATAGAGCAGCTTCTTTATATCCCCGAAAGTCTTTCTTAACTTCATCCTTACGTTATATCTTCAAGTTTCTAAGGAGGTCAATGAAACCATTTTTGAAAAATATTTAAGAAAATAAAGTTTAAAAATTCAAAATAATTACTTTTATGAGTTAATTGATTTTTCTAACAGCCTCCACACCTAAAAAACATCCATACATTTGGTTTTGCGAGATAAAAAAATAAAAAGGAAACAAAGAAAATATTTTACGAGCACCAAATTTGGCCAAAACTTAATAGTGAAAATATAGGTATGTGTGGCTCAATGTAAGGACAACCAATGTCAATATTTTATAAGATTTTTATAATCATCCAAAAAGGACCCCAGTATCTTAAGGGGTTGCATCATTTTCTCTAATATATTGCACATTGTTGGAGTAATATATACATTGTGGAAGTAATAAATATCAACTTCAACAATGAGTGAACACTATTTCTAAAAATGATTTTTCAAAAACTAATGCACTTATTTTGTCAAGTTTCGCACACTTCATCCAGATGAAATTGAATAATTATTGAACGAATGTTAGATTTATAAATATATTTGTATTAAGTGCAAATTACTGTATAAGGTCTAAATTTAATCAAAAAATTTAATTCCTCCTCATACAATTCCAGCCAAAAATTTAATTATTTCTTTCTTCCTTATTGAGGAAAAAAAAAAAAAGCTTAATTGAATATATACAGGGTATCTGCTACATTTTAGATTTTCAAATTCATGACTAATTCCAAGAATTTTTCATGACTTAACGAAGTTACTATTTTCTCCGACAAGAGCACAATAAATTTAAAAAAGCTTTATAACATTAATTGAAATGATAGGTATAGCCAAAACTGTTATACTCTGCATCTTCATATCATAGATTTTAATTTTAAAAAAACAGAGTAAAGAAAGAGTTTAAGCAATAAAAAAAAAGGAAAAAATACAAAAGCAAAAAAATTTTCTTCTTCTTTTCTTTCTGCAGAATTATATTCTAAAGATACTTTTCTTGTTCTTAGGAAAGGAAAGAAATACTCCTGATTTTTCTGTTCTCATTTCGAAATAAAAAAATTCGCCAATGACAGGCTTGCTTCAGCTAGAATTTTAAATTGATAAAATAAAAAAAATAATAATAAAATTCTGAAATCACAGAAGTTTAAAAGATAATTTGTTTCAGAAATGTCTTTTCTTTCATTTTTTGAAAGAACACCATAATTTTTTTAAAGAACATGATAAAAACATTTTATATTTTAATAAAACAAGATTGTGAGTGGGGATTTTGTTACAAATTCAGATATTCGGTACACCATGAAATTGGAGGGGGGATTCCACTTTAAAAATTAGATTTTTTGGCAACCTAAATCCACGACTTTTCATGATTTTTTTACAAAAATTTTGTTCAATACTGAAATTCATGACTTTCCAGGTGCGCAGATACCCTGTATATATAATGAATTAGAAGAATTCAAATGTGATTGGTGAATGTTTTTTTTTTTTTTAATGTTTATTTGTTCTACTGTAAGGACACTTTTTTAAGGGGTCCCTAAAAACAAGTTCTTTACAGTAAAATTTTCAAAATTTTTAGATGAAGGAAAAAGTGTTCAAAAGTCACTTTTTCATATGATATAAGCTTGAAAGCAGGAAAAAAAACATTTTTTTGTAATAAAGTGCTTCTTTTTCCTACTTCAAAACCCATGTAATAACTGAAAGGAATAAGCTCAATATCAGTGTTACCAAGCATATGTCAAGTCATTAATGCAAAAAAACTTGATCATTAATATTACAAAAATTTGACACTGGCTGTTCTTGCATAGATGAGAACATAAAAATCATCATACAGAAATAGAAAGAAATAATATAAAACATAAATGGAAAAACTGTTCAATTTAATTAGGAAAGGAATGTTTAAATTGAGAATAAGACTGACTAGTAAACAAAAATATTCTTTGGACATTTTTTTAAAACAATAGTTACAACTTATTTGTAAAATCATAAAATAAAACACATTTTTTACAACTTTATTCTTAATTTTATGAGCAAAATTTTGCAAAACAAGCAAATTTAAATAAAATATAAATTTTAAATTTTAAAAAAATTTCAATTATTTACGGCAAGTATAAGAAAGACAGTCATGTTAACAACAATTAAGTCACAGAAACAATATAATAGTTAATTTTAGAAAAATATAACTATAGAGATCTTTTAAATAAGGCAGCATAAGTGCTTGAGGATATCAAATTTCTAAACTATAGCCTTATTAAAACTTAATAAGTGAATTTTTTTAAAAATAAATACATAAATGAAGAAAATTTTATGTTACGGTCAGTGTAATTAATAAAATTAATATTGATAATTACTGGTTATCATAAATCATAACTAAGTAAGTCAGTAAAAGTTAAAAATCAAACAGAATTTATCACATTTACTGCTTATTATTAATAATTACCAATTAAATTTGGTCAATGTAAAAATTTTGAATGCATTCTTCATAGTTATTATTAATAATCCTTAGTTATTATAAATAAAAGTCAGATTTATTACTTTCTTTAACCGTAACATATATACATAAAACTTACCTAAAAATAACATTAAAACTGAATTATAAGATTTCCACATTTAAATATAATAACAGATATTCCAGCTTTTATTATTCAAAACAAGATAACATTGAAAAATGAACATGAACTATCATTAAATTTTTTAAGATATGCATTAGAAAAATTAGGTAGAAAAAAGTTTATGGTCGGTGAAACACTCCTTCGAAAATATACAATGTAGGCTTACAATTATTTTTAAAATATTAACAACATTATCCTTCCACTCTGATTCGACAGAACAATAAATTTAAATAACAAAATCATAGTAAAATCAGCTCGCATTACATTTGATATTAAAAAGGAAAACAAATTCTAATGAAACACATATAAAATAAATTAATCATTCCTTTTGTTGTGCAATAGATAGCAAAGAGTGGAAAGGCAGTTTTTAGGAATTAAATTTTTTATGAAAGGGTTGTTTCTATAAATTTGAATTTTGTGAATAGGCCTGGATTGATCTCGAACATAAATGTTTGATTGACAGAAGTAATTGGATGGAGAAAAAAAATTGAGCATTTACTGTACCTATATTTGAGAATGGGTCTGAATTAAAATATTATGAATACATTAAAATACTTATGTCATGTTAACTTATGCTTTAAAATGTTTATTGTGAGAAAAAAAACGTGTCAGTATCATAAAATGAAATTTGCTTTAGCAATATCTTGAAGTTGAAAACAGTTGATTTCTTATCACAAGAAGCTAAAAACAATATTACCAAAAGAAAATAAACCTATAGGGACAAAAAATGGCAAACCTATGGCACAGGTGCCACTTTGGGGGCACACATGAAGTTCATATTATTTTTTAAAATTTAATTACATTTATAAAAGCAGGGGTGATTGTGAACCCAACTAAAAAATCCTGAAAATTTCTTGAGTAAAATCATTAATGACCATTTCAAAAAGTTAATGACTTTATAAATTTAAGTCATTGATATTTTCAAAACATGAAATTCTAAATAAATTATAAGCAGCATAATTTAAATGAATAATTATGTATAAGTTTACTTTTTATCTCTAATCACAATTATTATTCTAACAGAAAAAATATTTACAAATGAAAAATATGCCAAGTATAAATTCTAGTTCTAATATTTCTAAATAAAATATATAAGAATTTTTATACATAAATGTTATTGATGATTTCTTGAAACTTCTGGACCTTGGGTTTCCCAATCGGGATTAACAAATAAATTGGGAAATCCGGATTTTTCTCAGAGCACAATCATCTCTGTTAAAGTCAACATTTAAAAAAAAAGAAAAAGATTTGAATACCATGAAAGGCAGAAAAAAGAAAGCAAAGTTGCCTCCACTTCACCTCTATCGAAGTTCATGCCATTGAGTAGTTGCAAACACTTTAAGCTTTATAAGTTTTGAAATTTTAATATCTAAATTTAAAAATAAATTATAGACACATTTACAAAGTCAAATATAAAGTAAATTAGCAAAAAGCCTACTAATATTATACAATAAAAAGAGGGGGGGGAAAGGCTTATAAAATATTGAATGTGATAACAAGTCAAAGACGTCATGCGTTAATCTAAAGTTTGATAAAACTGTTTATATAAGCAAAGTTATAAAAGCATTGTCAAAATTTTTCACAATATGTAAAATGTCTCTTTTTACAACATGAAAGTAGATTTAAATTTGAGCAAGTATCTCATTATCAGAAGAAAAAAAAACAGAATTGTGAGTTAGTTTAAAGATGACAATAAAAAATAAAATGAATCATATAGCTTAATTTCAGTTTTACATGCTTTCAACCAAATATTCTGTATATAACCTATATTTTATGATTTTTCTAAAATCATAAAAAGAAAAGAGGAAAAAAAAACTAGTAGCTATTTTGTCTCCTCCTTATCAGAAGGAAGACTACTCTTCCCATTAAATATATAATTCCAAAAAAAAAAAAAAAATTATCGAAGACTGCAAAAATATGAAGATTGAATACCAGCAAATTATGTCTTGGATGTGGCAGCAAAAGTTTATAGCAAACAGTTTAAGCCTACTGTTGCTCATAAAAATAATCAATTCAAAAGTTCCTGATTCAACAAACACTTATAGCACTGTATATGAATAAAAGAAGAAAAAAAATCAATTAAAACATGCATATACAGGTAAAAAAAAAATTAAGTAAGATATACATAAATCTAAAAACTACATTTCTATTAATAAACTATAGCTGCAATGCATACTATCTTCCATGCAGTAGGTTAGTGCAATTTAAGTATTTGAAATACGTAAAATACATTTAATGATTTTCTAATTAATCATAAGACAATCTAAAAAAAATGATTCATTTATTTTAAATAATTTATCATGAAAAGCATTAAACACAAATAGTATTATTTTACATTAAAAAAGAGGTATATTTTAGTTCATTATCGTCTACATCTCTCAGTTAAAATATATGTCCAAGTTGTCTGACATTTTATTTATAATCAATTTTGTTAAAGATTATAAATAAGTTTATAATGAGAAATTAATTATAATGAAAATGGTTACCTATATTATAAATGAGATTTTTATAAGATAAAACATATATTATAAAACAAAATATATTATAAAATAAAATAGCTTAAGAGTAATTGTCATTACTGAAAAGATTTTTAGTTTCACTCAGAAATAGTTTTTATTAAACTTAGCTTTTTCTACTTTTTATCAGAGAACTGCATTTGCACATCAGGTTTTAATTTCATCTTTAAACATATTTTTTTATAATTAAGTAAGAAAAACAACATAAAAATTACACTATTTAAAAAGGAAGATTTGATATGTTGATAGCACATATATAAAACATTTCCTTTGTCACAACCTGCTTTTACACAAATCAAAAGATGATACAAATTACAGATGATATATTTTACTTCAAATCGCTATTTTATAGAAGAATAAAATACTTTATGTGTATAAAATTGGCAACGATAGGGACATCCTATGATAAATGTACAAATAATACATAACGTAATACACAGTCTTGCTTTAAACAAATTTTAATACAGTCTTTTAGATCTGTCTTGACTTCTCTGAAAAACAATCACACCACCTATAATGCAAACACATATTCCTAAAAGAACACATACAATAATAAGGAAGAGTTTGAATCCGGACATTGCTGGAGGCTGATCATCAATGTGATCTCTTGGAGGGGCAAAAAACGAAGCTTTAGGAGAAATTTTTGACCGATCTTCTTCGTCTTTATAGTCAGGAATTTCTAATTCATATAAACGAATAGATATAATGTCGTGATTGTCAGACAAGTCACCAGTCGTTGCAGTACCTCCAAAAAAATAACCGGTCGGTAGTTTGACACCTTCGACAGAAAAACATTCCTTCCACGCATTTTTACCTTCTACATCTGTCGAAACAGTCAAAACATCTCTCTCGTATCGAATGGACAAATGAGAATCGTGTTCGGAATTCCGAAACTTAGATTCACATCCGGCTAATTCAGTATGTGTACCATCTCTATCATGATCATAGTGCAGTGTACCGTTATTCACCATAGCAGATATATATGGATGCCCGTGACTATGGGCTCCTTGATTAGCATAGGTATCAAGAAATATTCCAAGACCATCGAAATAGTCTTGATTTCCAAATACTGGTCCTGCTACTAATGATTGTTTCGTATACCAAATTGCCATTCCATCACCATATAAATCTTTACCTTTCCCATGTACTTTAAAATGAATTTGAAGCTCCCAATTCCTGACTGTACAGGGAATATTGTTCCATACAGCACCGGATTTACTTTGCAAATCGGGAGTGAGTCGAATATAATTATTTGTGATCATCGTACTTCCACTGAAATCCCAGTATGGAATAGAAACACCAGAAGCTTGATAAGGCCTCACAACTGAATGTTCACGCTTGATATAATCATTTGTATTCCACACCGCCAAAGAATTCATCGCATTAAAAAGAACGAGAATAACTTGAAAGCACAGCATTTTCATAGTGCCAGAAAAATTTGACTTCATAGTATGTAAGAAAAAAATCTATAAAAATTGCTTTGTTAAAACACGCAATTAGCAAATTTAAAATATCATCAACAGTTATATTCACCTTAGTCACGGTAAGTCACGATTTTACAGCTCGTGAAATCTTACAGATGTTTTTAAGATAATATTTTTGTAGCTTATAGCTCAGTAATATCTTTTTTGTTCCGATATGGAATTTGTTACCGGCTTTTGGCAGTTTGTAGTCATTTGTGATGTGAATGGATTGAGTGTTTATAAAACCGCGAAAGCTGAGAAAATCTAATATAAAAGGTATTTCTGTGTTTATTTTATCTTTCTGTTAAAATTTTACGTTTTGCTATTTTTTCTAAATTCATCTTTTTTTTTGTACAATAATTATAAAATCTGATTCAACTGAAAAAAATTTTGTTTGACAGTCTCTGTAGAAATGTGCATACAAATTGGAATTGTTACTGATTTGTAATCAAGCCTTCGTGTATCCTAATTAAACTCATAACATATTTTATTTTAATGAATTCTGACTTACAATGATTTTATATCATAGTTGGTAAAGTATTTAATGAAATGCGTTTAGCTTTCTATAGAGAGCGATAAAATTAATAGGGAACTCCGTTAATGTGTAGATAACCAAGTTAGTGTTAAATTTAGATATTTTCTTGTATTATAAATGTAATCCAAGAAAACTTTTCGGTGATAAATATCGATAAGATAATATGTAAATTCATGTTTGTGAAAGAATCGGAATCTTTTTATATTTGTTTCTTCGCTCGCCTTTTTAAATTTAACAAGGAATTTAAATTAATTTAACAACAATTTACAGAAGGAATAAATTTTTATCATGATGGCAATAATTATTGGTGTATACTTTTATTTCTTATTATTTTCTAATTAAATAAAATTTTGAAGCTATTTTTTTCATCTGTATAAATTTATAATTTAAGTTAAACTGGATAATAAGTGGAAATTTGGGGATATACTAGTGTTATTTATTTTTAGACTTAGATTATAATTTATATCTTTTATTATATTTTAAAGGGTTTTAAATGCAGTAAGACTTTTAGCAATAGGTAAGGATTCAAATCAGGGGTCTATCCAAGCCAAATTTACAAGGTACCGTTAAGCGGTCCTTTCACAAATTCAACTTTTGGAAAAACGGTAGTTTAACAAAATGCTTTTTCTTAAAATTTTATTTTTATGTCTCGTAAGAAGCGATAAATCCGTATTTTTGTGTTGATTTTTTAATATAATTTTTAATTTTCTCAAATTTTGTCTAAATTTTCACAAAATAGATACCTTTCCAGTGGTCTGTCCAGGCTGAATTTACTACCGTTTAGCGGTACCTTCACAAATTCAACTTTAGGAAAAACGGTAGTTTCACAAATTCCATTTTAGGAAAAATGGTAGTTTCACAAAATACTTTTTCTAAAAATTTTATTTTTGTATCCCTTAAGAAACGATAAATCCATATTTCTGTGTTGATTTCTTAATATAATTTTTAATTTTTCACAAATTATGTCTAAATTTTCACAAAATAGGTACCTCTCAAAAAAACCTAGACAGACCCCTGGAAATAAATGTACAAAAAAATAGTGTAGTTCCGTTTGTTAAAGATGGAAAGTCATTTCATTTGTTCTAATGTGTTGACAATAGCAAAATGTATAATTTAGAATAAAGTAAAACTAATAATTATGCTATGCTGTATAATTCATAGTTATGAATTTTTTTAACTAATGTACATTAACGTCTTCTTTTTAAAATGAAAATAAGACATGTATATCTTTAAGCAGAGTTCTCCTTTGGAATAAAAAAAGTAAAGGGCGCTTCCTCTCTGAAAAGGGCTCTTGGATTTTTGAAAGAAGCTTAAAACAGTAAAACACTTAGCACAGTAAAAATTTATCCAAATTTCTAGTATTCTGTAATGACTAAAGTTTATTCTCAAAAATTTTTAAATAATTCTCTTATACTATATTATAAGTATATTTCAAAAAGTAATTTTCTCTCATAATTAAAACAGAAGAAAAATTTGTAGTTTATAAAAATAATTAATGGCGTGATAAAAAGCAATCCGTGTGCATATTTATTTTTTCTTTACAAAAAGGGTAAACTAACAAAAAATGGTTAATTGATAATGATTTTGAAAGATTTTTTTTTTTTTATAATTAAACTGAAAATTATGAGAAAATGAACATCTAAATATGCATTGTTTTTACAAAAAAGGTATTTGTTTAAAAAATTTAAAATCGTTAAGAAAGTTTATTAATGTCTCCTGAAAAAAGTTTAATCAGTAACCACTTTAATTTAACCACTTGAGAATAATAATGACCAAGTAAATATTTGTAATATTAATCTAAATTAAACCTATAAACACAGATAATTTTACCAGTGTGTAATTATTTCAAAGGCAAATTAATTATTTTCAAAGTGGAATATGAATAAAAAGACAGTGTTTTTAAGGGATTGTAGCTTATTTTTATAATAAGGGCAAAGAAGATGAATTTATTGGGATCAAAGGGCATGCAGGGCAGCTGCCCTTAAAAAAAATGCTTAAAACTGCTTTAAATCTTTCCAAGTTTTTGCTCATTTCTATTTTTAAAAATTCGTATTGAACAAAAGCTGTATTTTGATTTAATCAGCCCTAGGTATGCTTCGCAGAGGTGCTCTGATTGTCTTTGAAGGCTGTGATCGTGTTGGAAAATCGACACACACTAAATTGCTCTCTGATGCTCTAAAAGAAGATGATATTAAAGTAGAAACACTACAGTTTCCAGGTATCTCACTTGTTTTAATAGATTTTATTTCAATTAAAATCTATCATTGCAAATCTATATGTTTTTTCTCAATTGAGCTTTGCTCGATATTTCATAGTTTTATATTTTAAACTAATGAGTAATACTTAATAAAGATTGTTTATATTAAGAATAATCAAGAACTTTTCTTTCTAAGATAAAAAAATAAGAAAATTTTAACTTCTTGAATTTGCATTTTGTAAGTTAAAAATTATTATTTCAGCTTTTTTCTTTTTTTTTCTTCAAAAATTACTTGATTGTAGTTTGAAAGACAGATATAATTTTTTTTTTATTCTTGTTATTTAGTGCTTAGCTATTTTTGTTTGGAAGATAAGGGGTTGTATAGTTTGTCCACAGTGAGAACTCCCCCTGCCACAAAGTCTGAGGCCGTCAGTTGCTATGGAAACAAGAACAGTGCACTTAAGGGAGGGTAGCGTCTCTTCATTCTAGGGCTATCACAATAGACTGAAGAAAAATATCCCCTTTCTCTTGCTGGCCTCAGCCCAAAACCTATCCTGAACTGTGACCCCACACCCCTATTTGAAATAGTTATACCTCAATAACATAGTCACCACCACGGATCCAGACGTATGGCTGAAGGAGTTTTTACTTTAGACAAACTATATATTAACCATTAAATGAATGCATTTCTTCCTGCAGCTGCATATTGTGCACTCCCTAATAAAAAAATTTACAGTTATATGTTGTAATCTTTGAATCAACAATCTTGATAAATTTGTATAGTAAGCATTGATGGGCAATTTAAATATGGTTTTTGAAGTGAATTGATGTTCACAGTTAATTAAGGATGTTATATTCACTTATGGAACCTTGTAAATTCAAGCCCAACTCAATAATATTAGGGATTTAATTTAAAGTAGTAGAATGATTTCATTTTCATGAGTATTACTAATGAAACTGACAAACTCTTGTATTACATAGCGATAGACTACAAAAAATGCACCATGTTTTGTTGAACAACAGTGAAAGTTTATATGTAGTACATTATTTTACACAAGAAATATTTTATGCCTATTCAAGCGAGGAACAGTACACATTCAATATCCATATCTAAATCATGAATATTTGTTAATATCTGTATGAAAAGCAAGTGCTCAAAACAACTGAGGTTTGTTATAATCAAAGATTGAGTTAAGAGGATCGCAAAATATGCCCTTATAGATAGCAGTGTTGGGCTATAAATATCAAAGAAGTCTATTTCTATAACATGTAATCATTCTCATATTTTTTTGTGACAATGCACTATGACTTAATAAAACTTTTCTGTAATTTTTAAAGTTTTTTCAATTACCTAACCTTGAGTCAATTACCTAATTTGACTGTTCTTTCATTCCTATAGCTCTTTGATCTTCTCAATGTATTATTTTGAGTTCAAATCTTGCTTATAATAAACTAAGCCTTATGAGCATGTTTGTTCAACTATTTATTCGCCGTTACTCATCCTTATTATTCTATAGATCGATCTACTGTTATTGGAGGTATTATCAACAAATATCTCACTGGATCTGAAGAAATAGAAGACCATGCAGTTCATCTCCTTTTCTCTGCCAATAGATGGGAAGCAGTGTATGCTATATTTTTATTCATATTTTGAAATCAAATTTAACAAATGTTTTTTAAATACTTAGTTAAAGTAATTAACATTATTTTTCTTCTCCAATTGAAATAAGTGTTGCATCTTGGGCAAAAACCAGTTTTCAGAGTTAAGACTTAAATATTGTTATTTTTAATTCAATTTACAATTATTTTTAATTCAATCATATGATTTAATTAATTAATGATTTAATTATGATAAACTGATTATTATGATTGATTATAAAATGATTTATTTATGATGGACATTAATTTAACTAGCAAAATCAATATAAAAATTTAAAAATATTTGATATTTAATATTTTAAAATTCTTTTCAAGGAATAAAAATATTTAATATTTTAATTCCTTGAAAAGATAATGTAATAAGTTTTTTTTTTTTTTGTCTATTTCCATGAATTTTTGGAAGCATTTTATTTCATGACATTTTCATATACATATGAATGAATCCCAGATCTTTCATTTAATAAGTTTGAATCTATCTATTCCAATTTTTACCTATTTCAAAAAATTTCAATAAGAGAAACTTTAACTTGAATCAAAGACTTTGTAAATTATTTGCATCTGCACAATTGAAGTTTCTTGTCATAAAAATGTTTTTAGCCCTATTCGTCTTCCAAGGGCTGTAAATATAGTTGCTAAACTATTTTTATTCTAGTGGCAGGATGTGTAGCATTTTTAAAAAGTGTTTAAAGGTGCTTATTTTTGTTTTTTAAAAACCTTTAAAGGTGCTTTTTTTATTGGGTGTTTTTAAAAGGTGCTTAATTTTCCCCTTTTCAAATTGAGATTTTTTCCTTTACCATGTTGATTTTCTCTATGAATTATGCAAAAAAAAAAAGTTCACATTGTTCTATTCAACCCCAGTCTATTTTGGCATATTGTATTGTCAGTCCCCAGCATATGAAAACACTATTCATTTTACATGATTCAAAATTTCGTGATTTTTTACAATTGTCAAAAACAATGCCAAAAGGTTTGGTTTTTTTCCGTCATGATGGTTAAAACAAGATGAAACCGTCAATTGTCACAAACTTTCCAATCCTGCCTAATTATGGTATTTTTTTAAAGTGCTTAAAAATATTTTTTGAGTGCTTAAAAGGTGCTTATTTTTTGTTGAATAATTTGGCTTGGCACCCTGAGTGGTGCTTAACTAATTAATGGAGTAGTACCTATTACCACTGTCAATTTAGCCTAACTGTATAAATATAGTCTTCTAACTGCCTTAATATAAAGTCATCTAAAAAGTTTGCATCGATTATTGCTGGGTGTGTGGCATGAGGAGGGGCATGAACTTTCCATGCAACTTAATAGTTTGGTGATCATTTTTATAATACCAAAATTATATGATAAGGCTTGAGATATTACCAATTTGATTTGTTTTGGAACAAACAGTGAAACGAAATTAAAACCATAAGTATTTGAATACGTATATGCTTATTTGTGGTATGTATATTATTAATATTTATTTACAATTTTTAGACCCAAAATGTTGCAACTGCTTAACTCTGGAGTGAATTTGATTGTAGATCGCTATGCTTATTCAGGAGTGGCTTTTTCTTATGCCAAAAAAGTATGATATTACTGTTATTTTGTTTAGTGTTTTTCTTCATCATAAATTTCTAGTTATTAATATAAACTTATTAATAAAATATATTTTAGTTGTAGAAAAAAATGGGTAAAATGATTTAAGAATTATAGTTATTGCATTATAAAAATCTGTGTATACAAAAGACATATCATTTATGAGTATGAATTCTTTGTCACATCTTTTTATTACAAAATATGCAGTTTAATGCAATACAGTGTTAATAGTTTCAAATACATTAAAAGTTGTATCAATTTTAAGCTAGACAGAGATAGTAAAACGCCTAACTTTACCTTGGTTCATTTCTAACTTTACCTAGGTTTCGTTTTCCAGAAATTTTGTTTTGCATACAGTAAATTAAGCTCCGATGTGATTGAGGAAATGTCAAAATATATTTATTTTTTTTACTCACTCTATTGATAAGTTTTCTGATCTTAATTTCATGTTCTTGCATTATCAAGATACTCGGAAAATAGGACTAATGATCTTATTTTTTGATATTTAGGGTGTTTTTCGCTGCTCTTTTTCTAAGAAAAATTAGTTACTGTATTTGTTGATTGCTTTGACTATGAGGCATTTTTGAAAAGTAAAGATACAATGCTGCATACTCACTTGAAAAAAATTTGATTTAATGTACATTACAAATTACTTACTGGTGCATTTTCTATTTTTCGAGTCACTGCTGTTGTCAAAACATTTGTTATTTCTGGGTACAAGCTTTTGTAAGTCATAGAACTTTACTACCCATTGTTGGAACCACATTTCAGTTAACAACTTAAGTTTTGATCTCAACATCGTGAAAGTTCTGCCCTGCATTGTGAAAGTATGTGAAAGTCATTGGGTGCAGGATGGATGATCTAAAATTTTCCATTTGAAACCTTTGAGCAATGTTGTGGCTAGAAGCATTACGTGAGGACTAGCACAGTCATGCAAGGAGCAAACTTTGTTTCTCTGCCTCTGTGTTTGCTTTGAATTGTATGTCTTTTTCATGAAAAAAGCTAATTACAGAAAGCACTTTTTATCTAGCAGGAATTGACTCAGGCATTATAAAGATGTGTTTCTCGAACAGGACTCGTCATACAAATAATGAATGACCTTGAGGGAAATGCGAAGCGTCATAGCTTATAATCTGTTACCAGTAGGCTCACAGAAGCTTTCCATTTGTTGCTATCGGTGAAGTATCTTTAGTTTCCAAAAGTACTTCGTAAACTAAAAGAATTATCTAGACTTTAAAATGGATAAATAGCTTAATTATTTAAGAAAAAATTTACATAAGATCGCCTAGAGACTAAAATTATTTATATAAAAAAATTAATTTTAAAATTTTTTTACGAATTAAAATAGCATTTTAATAGCTTATTAAGAATTAAACATTTAATTCTCACTAAACTAATATTGCCATTTCATAATTCATATAGAGGGAGGAAGCTTGCCAAAGAAGGTTGAAGAAGCTACATTTCTGATTCTTATCTGGGATTTACCAGGTTTTAGCAATGTTAAAAACAAAAACATATAATGTTGCTTTCTCAAGTAATTTGTTGGTCAAAGACATTTTCTGTAAGAATATATGAACACAGCCCTAATTCTAGTGTTTCAATTGTCAGACACTTTTTGAACTATTTGTCTGTACTTATTTTGTGCTAATAAAATTTTTAATACTCTCTTAGGGTTTAAGTTTCTCTTGGTGTAAACAATCAGATGTAGGATTGCCAAAGCCAGATTTAGTACTGTACCTTGATTTGCCTTCAGAAGCAATGGCCAAGAGGAGTGGCTTTGGTGAAGAAAGGTATGAGAAGGGAGATTTTCAGAATGAAGTGAAGAAAGTATACGGACTTTTACGAGAAGACAACTGGAAGGTATGAATAAAAAGAACAAACAAAAATTCTTTATTTGGTATTAATACTATTTATTTTATTATGGTTATGTAATTAAAAAGTGGCATATCTCTGCAGTTTTTAGCTTGAATGTATGTTCCAATCATCCTATTAAAAAATTAAGTATAATTTGTATCCCTAAGTTCCGTACTGGATTGATGGTAAAGATGGTCCAAGTAGAACACCAAAGTCAAGCATCACTGGCTGCAATTAGTAAACGGGTGGGTGACCACTTTGATCAGCCTACGTAGGGACCGAGGGCATGCGGTATCGGTCCTTGTTAAACTATTCTACCGTAAAGTGCTCGACTTCACACGCAGGTCATTGGGCTACCAAGGCACAGAGGCGACCCCTTCTGCAGAGGATCAAAATTGTGATGGCATGTCTTGGGATCATCCTCGAGATGGTTCCTGGACCATTGCCAATACCCCATTGCAAGATGCTCATTAGCTTTTAATTGGTCAATGATGCCGAATCTTCATTTTTAAAAGGCCGAGGCTTATGATGTCTCACCCTTTGGTTTATACAAAAAAAAGTTACTAACAAGGATTCTTACAGAAGTTGAGTCATTGCTCTGGCACAACACTCTGTTGAGTGTAATTATGATTATGAAATTCTTTTCTTTCATGAAATCATTTGTACTTTACTCATGTGTCACAATCGTCAAATAAATATATATTTATGAAAGCTTCGTTTTGAGTTCTGTCACTACACAGGTTCACTCTGCTATTTATCCATTTATTTAATGATGTTGTCCATACCCATCCATCATGAGTTACGGACCCAGAAGATTTGAAAACAAAGAGCAGCATTGTGAAACCAAAGCTGAAATAGCCGGCGGTAGAGATATTGAACAGGAAACTAAGTTTCGATTTCCTGTAACCGTGCTGACTCCCTTGATGGGGGTCGGCTGTCTGAGCCATCATGGAATGATGGTTTTTCTGGAAGCTGAGAAGTGATTATTTAAACAATCAATTTGTAAAGAACAGAAACTGAGTGCTTAAGTTTTATTGAACTTCAATTCATTGGGGGAAAAGCATGGCTGAAAAGATAGACGAAACGTGAATGTCAATGAAGTCCTTGTCGCAGTACTCACCAGTATGTGGATGTTCGAGGCGGCATTTGTAGATGGGTTTCTTTGTCAAAGGATCATGTCTTCTACACAGTGTGAGATAGAAACTGGAGATGTGCTCTTCTGTAGTGAATTTCGTTTCAAATCCTTAAAGATTTATAGTTAAACTTACAGTTGTGTAATTCAACTTTCTTGAAGGATTGCATTATTTTTTTGAACTTTGCCGTTTTTATAAAAGACTTGAAATATGTATAGTTCTGGAAACTTGAACTTTTTATTCTACATTTTTAAGACATAATATACTTTTTTAAGACATACAAGTGAACTTTGAATATTGTAATAACAGTGAGAGATAATAAGGCAGGTAAATAGTAAATGTTTTAAGTTTTAGATCTTGAATAGCAAAAGTATTTTGAATTTTTAATAATGTGCTATTTTTGAAGTTTAAGGTGTAAGTAAAACTTTTTGTATTTTGAACATTTACTAGAACGTAATTTTAATAATGCTGTTTTAATTATAAACTTGCATAAATTTAATGTTTAATAAAGTATTACTAGATTAAATTTGAAAGTTTAATGTTTTGAAGATACTAGGGAAATTTAAACTTGAAAATTGAGAGTTGGGAAGTAATTTAGATTGAACTTTTAAATTTAAAGTTTGATATTTATTTCTGGTTAAACTTGAATATGCATTAGTATGTTATAATGAGTACATCAATTTAACAAATGATATTGATGCCAATATTAAATTTTAGAAATAAAAGTTTTGTGATAAAGTAGAGTTTAAATGATTTTCGAAAAAAATATTTAGTTATATTTTTCTTCTATTAAATCATTTGTGCTTTATTTACGCGTCACAATTGTCAAATAAATATCTATTTCTGAAAGAGCTTCGTTTTCCTGAGAGCTGCCACTATATTTAGATAATGATGTTGTGAAGTAAACAAGGCCTATAAGATTAACATGTTCAATGCCCGATCACGCATTAACGCAGGACAATATTCTTTCCTACAGTTTGTGTCTATAAAACAGATTTAGTGTTAGCATCAAATTCTTTTTGCAGAAAATACGCATTTTTCATGATAACGTCATATTGTTTATTAAAATAAGATTGTAAAATTTAAAAACTAAAATAGTTGCTAAAATATGAAAATTCAACTTTCATTTTATTCTTGTATGTTACCATTTTTCAATGATATAGTATTACCACCTGCAATCAGTTAACGTTAAACCTCCTTCCAACTTTCATTTATTCTAATTCAACTATCATTTTATTGTATATTACCATTTTTCAATGATATGGTATTATCTCCTGCACTCAGTTAACATTAAATGTCCTACCAAGTTTTGATAGAAAAAAATTATGTGAATAGTATAAAACTAATAAACCAGAATTAAGTCAAATTTTCATAACTTAAGAACTTTAATAACATACTTTTAATAACTTACCTTTAGGCATGTGATTCTTTCCCTAATTCGTGGAATTTCGCAAATCAATAATTTATATTCTGACAAAATTTTGATCTAAAATTTAAATTTCATAACTTAGGCAAAATCTAGCGACCGAGACATTTATTTTCATTTAGCCAGCACTCTCTGTTTTCTTCCTCATTCATGCACCATGAATTTTTAACGCAGAATTGTTAAAGACGAACACAACTTCATATAAACTTTAAGAACATGAGACTGAAATATCTTTGTCCAGATTGAATGAACTACTGAGGTTAACACAAAAGTATAAAATTGATTATCTAACAAGTAATCCCGAAATGGCCAATATTTAATAAACTACAATTGGATCTAATGAATTTTTAATATATTACGACATGAAAATTTATCCTGATACACTAAAATTGTATTCTCATAATATAATAAAAATTTCAAATCACGCATTTAAGTAATCACTTTACAACACTCTATATACCTTCTTAAATCCGTGTTTCAATCTTATTTTTTCTTTAGTAATTAATGATATTGTTTCTCTCGTGATTTTTAAAATTCTGATTTATGTGCCCTATATTTTTCTGATAGATCCATTTTCTCCTTTCTTAAAAATGTATCATTTTCTTTGTTTACATTGCAAAGTGGTCAAAATTTTGATGGCAGATAAATTTTGTTTCTTACGATTAGGAAGCAATAGTAACTTGTATTATCAAAAAGGTGATAAATCATTAAGCTTACGTTTGATTACTTCTAGCTTGTGAACAGTGGTTGAAATTTTCATTGACTGTACCGTTACCCTTCAAACTTTGGCAAGGCTGTGAACTTTTAATTGAATTTTGGTAACGGTTACCCAGGTTCAAAAATAGACAAATAACTAATGAATTACATGAAACATTTAACCATTAAAATTAAATTTTATTATAACTATAAATTTTCAACAAACACAACTTCAATCATTTCCAGATGTCTTCATGCGCACTAAAATTTCCAATTTATACACTTTTAAATTTCCAAATTGTTATACTCAAGATAAAACTTTTCGATAAAAAGCACTTTTAAATTTCATATGCATAACATTAAATTAATTCACACTAAAAGAGACATTTACGAAATAAAAATACTAGCTCATTCTAAATTTACAAAAACATTTAAACTTTAAGTCCTTGTATTCCTACAGCAGATAATTAAAATTAAATATCCAAGGCTCATCTTAAAATAGGTATCTTAACACCGGATAGAAATAATTTAAAATACGGAATAAAATGCTCTTCTAAAAAGTTACTAAAAAGGTAAGAAATTAGAGTTTATAAATACAAAAGGAACTTGCAGATCACCTTCTGGAACGCCGACCGGGATTGCAGCTAGACTTATGGACTAGGAGAACTTCGACTTTCCGACCGCCATTCAGTTCTTTAGAAACATTCGATTTTCTGCCGAGGAACGCTCAATTCTTGCCAACCGTCTTGAACTTAGCGACTTTCAGTCTATCACTTCCCGTCAACTATTCTGAGGCTTCAGATCAACTTTCTTCCAGACAACAGCTCATCCGACCAATGTTGCGTACTTAGTCGCGGCATCCAGAGACTCTTTCTAAACATCAACCTTTCAGCATTTCAGCCTAGATCAACTCACTCCGAGACTCCAGCTATATCTAAACTCATTCTCGATGATACCGGCTCAGAACACACTTCTAGCAGCCATGATAGATCCTGTCAGCGGTGATGTTTCAACCCAACATTCCATCGGGCACGATCCGCACTCCCGTTGTCCTGCTTTTTCAGCCACTCTTCACGCCTCTTATACTTTTTTCATCAAGGCGAAATAATCCATACTGACCTGTTTACTCGCTCAAAAGTCATCACGCATCCAGTGGACGTCAGAACAAAAAAAAAGATCCATATGAAAAACCAGCTACAAACCACTAATACGCCATAAAAGTGATAATCCAATCCTCTTTAAATGTTAATACAATTTATATCCACAATCTACCCCAAAAATCCCATTTTAAAAGGATCAATAAAAATTTCTAATGAAATATCATAATTTTGATTGCATTTAAATTTTATCATAGTGGTGCCATCTATTGAAAAATAACTCTTCTTTGAAAAGTATTGATACAAAAAAAAAACTCCAATAAATTCCTATTTATTCCATGACCATCAGAGGGCAAAAAATTATCCAGCATAAATTCTTGATTGTAGTAGAAAACAATTGTCTTCATCCAATACAGAGCTCCACTTAAAGTTAAAATTTAAGTGCTCTAATTAATATGAACATGGTCAAAATTTAAATCAAGTGTGAATTCCCTTTAGCAATAAGCATAATTCCACTCTCTTACATATGAAAATGTAATTATTTTTTAAAAACTTTGGTTAATTATATTTGCTAAATTCATTTTTTTCTTCATATTATAATATTACAAGTTTTTAAGTGATTTCATAAATGAAATAATATTTAATAAAATATTTATAGTATGTATTTATTATGAATCTTTTAGGAAACATTATCAATACTATTTCATAAAAGTAATTTCTAATAAACTAACGTATTGCATTTTTATTTTTTAGGTTATCAGTACAGACAGAGAATTAAGTGAAGTTCAAGAAGAAATAAAAACTTTAGTTAAGCAAACTATAAATAATTCTGCTCGTTCCACATACGATACTCTTTGGACTGATAATTTTGAGACATATGTCTGATCTCACATATTTTTGAGCCTGGATTTTATATTCAAACTACCATTGATCTTTAGACTGAACAATAAGACTGCTTTTTATACTGTGACATTTCCACTATTTATAACATTTCATATCATTAGTTTTTATCTTGTCCTTATTTTGTAGGGTTTTTTAAATCTATTGAACTTAAGTTTCTTCCTTTTAAGCAAGTATTCATACTATTAATTTCATTTAAACATATGTTTTTATTTTATTTGTCTATTATACTCTTATAATTTTTTTAGACGTAGTTATGTGAATCACATTCAACCTGTGTTATGTGCTACATATTTTTATTTTACGAAAAATGCTTCTAGAAGTTAGTTCTGCAAATCATCTGTAAATAGTGTTAGTTTTCTTTTGTGTTTATTTATTAGCATTTATTCACATTTTTTATTTTATTTGCATAAACTGACATTTATATTAGAAATTGTTCTAGACTGCCAAGATTAGTTTTTATTAAAGAAATTGAATTTATTTTTATTTTTCAAATTTAAAAACTATTTGACTCCTTAAATCTAATTTGCAGAAAGTTTTTTCTTTTCTTTAATGGATGCTATAGTAATTCATTAACAGAATTCTTAGTTTTTATTAATGAGCTTGGGCAGTTTAGTTTCATACATAGTTTGACTACTTAACATAGTTTATTAACTTAATTCAAAACATTCTATACATATATTTTTTTAAAGAAGCATATTGTGAAATCTTAATTGAATGTTTTATGCTATTGATAAAAAAACAAAATATTATTTTGATCTGTTTTCTACATAAATAAATTTCAAATCAAATAATACCTACCTTATCCTTAATGTTGCAGAATGCTTTAAAGGTACTGAATATTAATTTACTTAGCTCATAACACTTCTCTCTCTCTTTTTCAAATCATGTTTAATTTATTCACTTTTTATTATAAAAATGTCTGCTAAACTCTAAAAAAATTAAACTTCTCAATACACTTTAAAAATATTAGGGGTTAAATCATAAAACTTAAATTCAGTAAAATAATAACATTGCATAACTGTTTCCTTCTTTAGAACGCTGATGTCACGATTAAAGATGAGTTACAATTATTTGCGAAGAAAACAACCAATTATATTCAGAATTACAAATATTAAGAACTTGCATTAAATTCAGAATTTAACTTTTAAATATTGGTGTAATTTTTGCAACACAAACAAGATCATAGATTACTAATCATTTGTATTTTTAATTTAATGTTACAACCTTTTTGTATATAAATATGCAAACTAGTTGTAATATTTTAATCATTTTTGTTTTGTATATGCTCGTTTGTCATGCAAAGGTGCAGGCATTGTGTATATATATATTATTATATACACTTATATTTTTTAAATATACCACCACTTTTTGGTGCATATAGGATCAAGTCAGTGCCGTCTTTACGCGGGGGCCCCAGGCACTCATTTATTATTTGAGGATTGCAATTGATTAGAATTTCAATTTTTTTCAAAAATTATGCATAGTTTAAAAATGCTTTTTTTTTAAATGTTCATTGAGTTTTTGGGGCAATCAAAATGTGTTTAAATTTTTTGAAATTATCTTAAAAGTTGCTTTATTTCATGCATGTGAAGCTTGATTTCAAACAATATGACATGTTATAGAGGCACAAAACAATTATGTGCCCGGGGGCGGGGGGACTACATGCTATTAAGACAGCTCTGGATCAAGTGCATTGTGTGCAGACCTATCATTTACTTTCCTAAGCACCCTATTTCCACTTTTTCAGTTATATGCTTCTTTACGATTGTTAGGGGCTTTTTTACATTAACCTTCATATTTATTGTATATTTAAAATTTTATTTATTTATATACTATTATTGCTCATCAGCGATTATTTAGCAGTGTGTATATTAATTGCAGCTGCCATATTTGCTTCATATGTAAGATGCTCCCCAATTGGAAGCAAAAGTCATGCGTTTACCCTTAGACTGTCACACCATTCGAAAGTTACATTCTGGTTTCATCTCCTAGAAAAAGGGCTACTCTATATTATAAGAGAGAGAAACTGTGTGATGTGGATAAAAATTTACACATTTACTAAAGTAAGAGGTTTATTAGAGGTAGATATTGATTTGATATTTGATTTGACCACCAAGATGAATTCTAATAGACTAATGTCATTTCTAACTGATGATAATTTTAACTTCTATGATATTGTGATGTGTGTGCTAATGATATGTGACTTTTTATAATGATAAAAGGCTTATAATTGTGAATTGCATATTCCTGCTTTTTTAATGCTGAGGAAAACTTTTTGTAATAAAAGTTAAGGCAATTATGACCTATGCATCGGTTTTATTTCTAAAGCGGCTTTTTTGTTACACACAGAAAGAGAAAAAAACTTGCTCCTGATTTAAGAAAAAAAAAAATTATATACAAGTTGAAGTTTGATGGTATGATTTTGTAATGATGGTAAAGCTGGCTACAGAATTTTATTTATGTGCAATGTTAAAAATACATTTTTGGAATAAAGTTGAAATGTGTTTTTATTTAAAAAATCTTTGTAAATTTCATTTGGTCGTGGTTATTTACATTATATAATGTAATTACACATATTGCTCTTAATGCTACATAAACCTATTTTGTGATAATTGTGTTAAATTTAAATTACGTATTAGTACAAATCTAGTACTTATTGTCATTATTCATTCAAAATTGCTCATAGTAAATAATAGTTTTCTACTTAAGTTTGTAATTTTTATGCATATTTTGCTTATATAAATCATTTTTACTTATGCATTTTGTGTGTGTTATTTTTATTTATGCTTTTAGTATGTGTTATCTTTTGAAAAAGTAAAATCTAACTTGTTTCTAATTTCATTACCTCTTAATGTTAACTAAGAAAGTTTTTGTTATTTTGTCTAAAAGTATCACCCAGCGGATTTCAAGTCTCATAATTTTTAATAATGTTTATTTTTTACTCCCCTGCATGTTCAATCAGTACAATTGGCCAGAATATGATTACTTTGGACAAGTGTCCTGATACTTACTGTGGTCGAGTGGAGAAATATTAGAGGGCCTGTGGTCTAATGACCTAGTAGCCAAACAATTGACATTTCATTAATAAATAAAATTTAAAAAAATAGGAATAAACATCTAAACATTTGTTTAAAAAAAAAAAAGACTCTTTGTGACTTTTAATTGAATTAATTCAAAAAATACAAATTATCACCAGTGAAAACAATTTATACAGCAATATTAATATTATATGAGATAATTTATTTAGGATATGATGATATTTTAATGAAATCATATAAATTACTAAATTTTGAATACTTACTATTGTCACCCTTTCTTAAGAATGACTAACTGCAATACATATTATTTTGACCATCAGAAAGACACTTATTTACTATGCATGATAAAAAGTAAAAATGCATAAATTGTTACTAATTAAAAAAAAAAAAGAATAAGTTGTACGCAATGCAGAGAAATTGAGATAGAATTCAACTTCCAATTAATAAAAATTAGAAATTTCATTTGTTTTTAACATAATATCCCCAGCAGCAAAATAACTTGGGAACTCATTAGGCCAATATTCACCAATCTCGGCTCAACTAGGTTTTAAATGGCCATTATTTTGCCAATACTAGACCGATATAGAAATGTCCGATTCACCCGATATTTTATAGCCATTATTCAGTCAATGTTTACCCTACATAAAATTACCAAATTCACCCAATATTTTATTTTCCTAATATCGGCCCTATATTTTAAAGCAGTTATTCAGCCTATATCAGTTCGATATAGAAGTGTCAGACTCGACCAATGTTTCTCAGCCAATATAGACCATAGATAAAATTGTACGATTCACCCGATATTTGAAAGCCGTTATATAGTAAATGTGGGCCCTTTTATAGAATACTTCGATTCATCCAATAAAGACCCTATTTGAAATTATCAAACTGACCCGATATTTTATAGCTGTCACTCAACCAATATAGGCCATATATAGAATTGTTCGATTCACTCGATATTTTAGAGCCACTATTTAGCCAAAGTTTTTCATTGCTGTGCTCTTTCGCCAATATCGGCTCTATACAGATTTGTTAAGTTCACCCGATATTTTATAGCCGTTAAATAAAACCTAAAAGGTAACGCTTTTCTCTAAAATCATACTTAGTTGATTTCAAATCTCATGGGCTGATAGCCATAAATATAACTCTAGTGCTACTTTTACAATAAAATCAAAACATGCAGTACTCTTGGTAACTCGATTTTTTACCACCAGAATTTATAATTTTGACCAAGGTAAATGTTTTATTTTATAACCGCCGACCCAATTCTTGGTTTACGACTACCAATGTTCAACTCCGTAGACTTGTAATTTTGAACCTAATCCAGAAGATAGGGAACTCATGGATCAAGTATTGGGAGAAATTTGCCTTTGTGGAGGACTATTTGATGGAACTAACCTGCATTTACGTTGCATGGAGAAGAAAACCTCCCACGGTAGGGTACTTTATTCCACGATACATCTACCACTGAGGATATTTTATGCCAGCTCGCACTCGATACGATGCGGAATTCGTATCGACCAGCCATTACTGGGATTCGAACCCGGTTTACCTCATTGGAAGGTGAACGCTTGTTTCCTGAGCCACCACGGCTCTGGGTGAAAATGTTTGTAATTATCATTTCTAGTAATTCGGTAAAAACTGAGTGTTTAATTGGATTGCACATCACGTCTTCTTAACTCCACTCTAAAATATTGCAAATAGTTGCAGCTTTATCAATCTAATGTTTAATTCTTGCAACGTTAAACATAAATTTTGGCAAGAAACTTCTGTTTTGTTCAAGGTGAAAATCATTTCCAGTGATGCTGTAAACAGAATGCTTAGTCGGATTGTATCTTCTAAGCCCACTCTAAAATGTAGCTGATACCTCAAGTGCATCTTTGGCAATCTATTTTTTAACATCCTGCAATATCAAGAATAAGAATAAATCTTTAAGGCCCCTTACGAGGTAGATCGTTTGGATAATCAACCTATTTTCTCGTTTTCTGAATTAGTTAAAAGTTTCATCAAATACAATTTGTTATGCATAAAAAGCATTAAGCTAAGTTAGGGATGCACAACCTTTTTCAGTGAAGGGCCACTTGCACAACAGGTTAACTAACGAAGGACCTCAAGCGTATTCGTTTTTCCTAGGCGGTACTACTTGGTGCTGTCTCTCCTATTGTGCTATCTGTCCTCTTCTACTTAAGCCTATTTTGAGCACACAAGCCTGAAAATTTATGTAATTGCAATAACCAATCAAGCGTATTCAACAATTTTTAGGCAAATATAGTAATATTTAATTCAACATTTGTGTTCTAAGCACTAACTTTTTTTATCAGTAAACTTAGTAATATATTTGTAAAATGTGCAAATATAATGTGTTTGAATGAAAGATCACGTGCTTACAAATTTATCTTCAGGAAAACAAATGGAAAAACGAAATTCAAAGAATTAAAACATTTCTTTTTGCTGAACCACAAGTTTTCATACCTCTTTTCTTTTTAAAAAATTATATTTGGGAAAGTCAATTTCGCCACTTTTAGTTCTAAGAATTGAGAACAATTGTTTGTTTGTTTTTCTGGTTTGCATCATTTTTGATGTTTTTATTATAGAGCGCAGTATTTTAACGGAACATTTCAGATAGCCTATTCGTTTATTGCCACTTTTTTCATGCACTACATAGATAGCCGGTAACATAGATAAGTGTGATTTTCAGAGTGAAGGTTTTGTTTTAGGAACCAAAAACATTTTTTTTATTACCTTTACTTTTATTAGCGTTTTATCAAGACACAGCATTTTTTAAGGACCGTTTATAATAAACTTTATTTTATAGAAATTGTTTTTTAAAATTACGGCAATGCAAACGTTAAATTGAGATTAAAAATATTAGAGTTTAATTTTAAAAGTCAAGAAAGTTTTTGTTTCTCTCTAGCTTGTTCTTTAAAAATAAAACTCTTGATTTTATTGATGTTTTTATAATATCTTGGCAATTTTTAAGAGCGTTTCTATTGGACTTTATTCTTCACTTTTTCTTGAAAATACGGTAATTGGAAAACACATATCCAGTGTTAAAATTTTCTTCCCAGTATTAAGATTTTTTTTTTCTGTTTCGCTTTTGTACATAATCTTTAGTTTTCTATGAGAGCGCTTCATTTTCAAAAGTTTTTCTGATAGACCATATCTTTAACGTTGTTTTATGAATAAGTTTTTCCAGAAAATACTCTTTTAGCATTGAAATTTCGGTTTAAATTTAGCTATGCTGCTAAAAATATGTTGCTTTCTGCTGAATATATGGAATTCGGCCGATTTTTATTGTCACGCGATTAGAAAATCGCGTGACTTAACAACATTAGTACGTAAAACTAATAACGTATAACTAACGTAGTTAAAATAACGGGATCCTCAAAATCAAGTAGAATACGATGAAATCAGCACGAATAAAATGCGTTGATAATGCGCGATTTAAAACGCGTGAAAAAGTGATTATTTAATGGTGAGATCCAACTTCGAGATTCATAATATCATATTAAAATATTAAGGTTTTCAAAACTATCTGAAAATACTATATTTTAACAGCCGAAAAATAACTTGAGATTCACAATGAAGTTAGCACAAATAAACTGTGTCAAAAAGCGATTACTTTAATGTGTGATTTGAAATTAAAGTATTGTAATTATATCAAAGTAAAACTACGGGATTTCCAAATTACTTGGTAAAGCGTAGAAATAGTTAGAAAAAAATTCTACAGATTTACCATGAAACAGCTACAAAGAAAGCGTATTGAAAAGTGATTATTTAAATGTGTGATTTAACTTCAAGATTCAGAATATTGTCCTATTAAAAATTTCAAGATTTTTAAATTTTTGAGAAAATATGGTGTTATAACTGCCGAATAATAATTGAGGATTTTACGATGACATCGACAGAAATAAATCGCATCAAAAAGTGATAAATCCAATACGAGATTGATAACTCATGAGTTAGAATATCGCATTAAATGTACCAGGATTTTAAAAACCGTATGGCGATCGGTAGTTAGTTTTAACTGCGAAAGAGCGATCGAAACGTCACTTGGATTTATGATGAAATCGATTAAAATAAAGAGTAAAAAAATGATTACTGAAATTTGCGTATCGTAATATCATATTTAAAATATTAGGTTTCTTTAAACCAAGCGGAATTTGATACAATGACTGGGAAAAAAGCAATCGAGAAACAACATAGATTTACTATAGTATCTATGAAAATTAAACACTTCCAAAAAGTGATTAAAAAAAAGTGTGACTTAAAATGCTGTTTTTCTTTTAAAATTTTTGGAAGAAAAATTAATTTTGTTAAAAAGCTACTGCGGGCCGCACATCAGCCGGAAATAATAGCATAGAAAAGTAAGGAAAAAGAATGTTTACAATCCAAAACAGAGGCCGAAAATTCAAAACTAGTTAAATATCATTTTAAAAGTTAATTTAATATAGATAATTAAATAATATTTTGGGAAGGAAATTTTAAGCAAAGGAGTTCTAAAAAAGTTCTTAATTCCAATAATTTCACCGGTCGTATTGTCACATAATAATCATGTAGAAAACGAAATCCGTTGGATAGTTTATGAGAAATCTAATTTTAAAAGCAAGATTTTTCAGGAACTATTCAACGAATTTGCTCTTATTTGCATTTTGTTATTTAAAAAGTTCTCGAGATATGACGAAGTACGCAAAAAAATAAAATATTAAGGGGACCAAACTTTGGACCGCTCTCTTGACCAAACTATTGGGGTCATATATCTCAGATTGCGACTACTCCCAATATTTTGGAGGTCGGTTATCCGAATTCATCAAAAAAAAGTATGCTTATTTAGAAACAGCACACTTTCGTGTATGATTTCGGAACCTAAAATATCGTCTGCACTAACTAATTATAAAATTATTGCATTGTATATTTAATAAATCGATTTACATACCAAATACAAACTTAATCTGAAATTTTAAAGTTGAAAAAAAAAAGGATTGACTTAAGTAGTTGCAATGGCTATAAGTCATAAATAAATATTAAATAAATTTTTTTTTAGGTATAATCTTATCATTACTACAAAATGTAATGGAAACTGGTTGTTAGAATAACATCTGGGCAAATCTTCTAAAATAAATTTTATGAAATATGTAAAAGCTCTGCATTCTAACAAATAAAAAAGAATGTGAATGTCATTTCAAACGAGTTTTGAAGTTTTAAAAATCGGTGTTTGTATGACTGAAGTTTTAACAGGATAACTTTTGGTGTAATGCAGGATAGTTCTAGAGCAATTTCAGTTTATCTGTTTTATTTTAACAAACATACAAATATTTGAAATTGATATAATATATATACAAACAAAAACATATGAGATTTACTGTGATGATTATGTATCCATCCCTTCAAGTTCTTTTTCATGTTTGTCGGAACTAAAAACATCCAAAGCTTCCTGAAATATTTAAATATGGGTTATTTTATTATTCAGGCTTTAATTTTTCACAAAAATAGATTTTTTTCTTAACGTTTAAATCAAAGATATATGCACTTAATACCACATACAGAGTTTATACTTAAATAGAAGAAATTTCTTGACCTAATTTTGCTAGGCCTTTTTAGGTAAATTGATGCAAAATTCCAGTATTTAAAAAAAAAAAATTCATCAAAATTTACATTAATACAAAAGTGAATTAAAATTATAAATAAAATATCAACTCTAAGAAAGCATTAATAATTTCTTTCACTAAAAAATATTTGGTGATTTAAATGATGTCAACTCATAACAAATTGTTAGAACAATAAATGAAACTGAAAGGATAAAAAAGACTAAGGAAATTTATAAGATAATATTGAACAAAAAAAGAAAAAAAAATCTATTCTTAAGTACGGAATTGTTTAAAAAAGTTAATAAATAAAAATACATGAATAATCTTTTTATAATTGAAGTTTAGAAGAACATTTTTGAAAACAAAAGCACAATAAATAATTAAAACCAAATATATTAGCCGATATTTAAAAATTAATTATGGAAAAATAATCACCAAAAAGATTGCAAAACGTAATTGAATGATACTAATTTAAAAAAAAAAAAACACTGTGTTTAACACCCATTATCATACTTATCTTAAGAAGAAACAAGTAAACAATCCATATCTAATTGAAATCAATCCACTTTAATTAAAATAAGTGAAATAGTGCTTGAAAATAGTGCAATTCAATAAGTCAAATAGTGCATTAAAATAATGCTTTTTATCAATAGACAATAAAAAAAAAATTTAAAAAACATATTTTTAATCCTTAGCTATAAAATAAATAAGTTATCCTAAAATATGAAACAACGCTGCAAGCAAAAAATAAAAGTATAACTTATTAATCAAAATAAAAAAACAAATTTTCAATATCTAATTCCTCTTAAAAAAAATTATAAAAAAAATATACAAAATTAATACAAATATTCAGTATCTTATTGAAATTAAATCATATTTAATCAACTGACAAACACTTTTAAAAACAGAAAAGAAAAAAAATGCAACAGGTAAAGATTTTCTATTAAAAAAAAAAGGAATCGTAAATAAGATGGATAAATAGATAAAAAATACAAATTTCGATATTAAAACTGCTAAATTAATTTTTAAAAAAATTTAAAAACTTATTTTAATCATAAATACTAAACCAACACAAAAAGAAAGAAACAAACATAAGTTCATTGATGTCATTAATTTAATGGAAGAGTTAAGCCAATTTATAATAAAGAAAAGGTTTATAAAAAATCACCAAATTAACTCATATTATTGAAAGAAAAAAAACAACATATTTCATATCTAATACAGAAAAAAAGAAAATAATAAAGTACAAAGAAAACTTATTAATCATATTAGAGAAAAACAACACTTAAAAATTACCAAATGGAAATTATTGTTAAAAGAAGCACTAACATAAATATTAAAATGCAGGACTAGGCAGGATATAATGAGATCAGCTAAATTTAAAAACAATTCCTGTCTCAAATCACATTAAAAAGAATTAATTTACAGAGCATAAAATTTATTGCATACTGAAAAAAAAAATCAAAACGTAGCAGAATCAGAAATGTATCACTTGTAAAAAGAGAAAGCTGCTATTTGTTTCATAAAAAAATAGATCAGGCAAAACTTGCAAATGATAACCTACCTCTTAGGAATCAAAATTCATTCAATTAAAAAATATTATTTCTTTAATAAATATCAAATAAGTAAACATAGCAATGATAAAAAAAGGTTTTGTTCCTAATAATTAATTCAAAACTCTTAAGAATAATAGAATCTTGAGGATACACTCAATAACGATTGGTCGGCCCAGAAAAAAAAAATCTCACTATTCTTTTTAATCCTCTATTGTGCAAGTGCAAATTTATGGTTGATATGAAAATCGAAATATGCAATAAATGAAAATCGTAATATGCAATTTTCAAATTGTGTAAATACGAATTTTAAACCGTGAGAATATGAATCGTTATGTTTGGTTCTAAAATTACATGAATGTGAGCCAATTTCTAAATCGAGTAAATATGAATCAAGATGTGCGATTTCAAAATCAAGTAAATAAGCAATGTGCTATATGTTTATGAAATGAAGTTGATGTGGGGTCTATGAGATAGCATGACTTGCAAGTTGAGATTAAATTGCGATGCATAATTTGTCAATCAAGTCAATATGAAAATATGCGAAGTAAAGAGGCATATATCATGTGAATCATAATCTTGACTCGTAAATTATTTTAATGCAGATTGCGATGTGTACTCCATAAATGCCATTAATACGAATAGTATACAAGATTGATAATTTAAAGGAAATAAAAGCGAACCTGAAGAACAAAATTTTGCCTTCTTGTGATAGAGTTGCAAGTGTAAAGTTAAATAGTAAAATAATAAGGATAATAAGTTAATACAAGGAAGGATTTTTAGTGAATGTTTTTAAAATTATCAGTTAAGCATAAAACGAAACGATAAGTAAATGATTTAAAATTCAGTAAAAATCTTTACAAATATAAAAAGCGGGGTAAACGTTGCAAAAATCTAGTTGGTAAAAGATCTAGCATAACAGCAGGACTAATCTTGCCAAAAGCAGGAGAGTTGGCAAGCATAAATAAGAGTTTGTACCTTTGCATTGAGTCAAAAGACAGCCACTTTGAAACCAATTAAATGTATTTATTAGCAAGTGCTTCATGTCATTATTATTTGTTAATTCATTTACACTGGTTATCATAAATTAAGGAAAAATCACAAAAATAGCGATAACTCTTTCAAAAGTAAGCCAAACCGTGCAAAATTTGCATATGTTGTCCACTAAGAGTAGCTGAGTAAAATTGCAATATGCAAATTAGTGGCGCTGCACTCGGCTTACGTCATCTGCCTGGAGCATAAAAGTCCAAGTTTGAGAGAAAGCACACAAATTTTACTGTGATTGCGACATTGAAAATCTGAGATAGCCAATTCGTAATAATGACCTCTAGGCATCATTTGCCTGAAGAACTACGATGGAGAGCCATCGGGAGACTAGAGGCAGGGCAGAGTCAATCAGAAGTGGCCAGATGGCTAAATGTGAGTCCATCTGTGGTTCATAGACTTTGGAGGCAATTTCAAACCACAGATTCGGCATCTAGGAGGTTCAGTCAAGGACGGCCAACTGTTACGACCAGTGCCGATGACCGATATTTGACATTAAGTGCACGCAGGAATAGAACCGCTACTCCGACACATCTTAGATCCTCTCTTGCTGCAGCCACCGGAAGGTTGGTGTCAACGTCAACTGTGCGCAGAAGGCTCCACGAAGGTGGTCTGTATGCGAGACGACCAGCCATTTGCGTGCCGCTCACATCACGCCATAGGAGAGACCGTTTGCAGTGGGCCCGACAACATGTCCACTGGACGTCAGATCAATGGAGGCCTGTTCTCTTTACGGATGAGTCCAGGTTTAGTCTAGAAAGTGACAGTAGACGTTATTTGATATGGAGAGAACCTGGGACCCGTTATCATCCATCAAACATCCGTGAAAGAGATGCATACGGAAGAGGCAGTGTCTGTGTTTGGGGAGGCATATCCTTAGGAGGGCGCACATACCTCCATGTCTTTCCAAGGGGAACCGTGAATGCTCAGGTTTATCGAGACAACATCCTTGATGCTTATGTGCGCCCATATGCCGGGGCAATTGGTGATTGCTTCCTGTTACAGGACGATAATGCAAGACCACACAGAGCTCGCATTGTTGATGATTATCTTCAACAGGAAACAATTACTCGCATGGAGTGGCCAGCTCGATCCCCGGACTTGAATCCTATCGAGCACGTTTGGGATGCTCTAGGGAGGCGTGTATCTGCCATCAATCCGCCCCCTCAGACCCTTGCCACGCTTGCAACTGCTTTACAAGAGCAATGGCTCTCACTTCCTATTGAACTGATAGACCGCATAATTGAAAGCATCACACATCGCTGTTTGTGCTGTATTGCTTCTAGAGGCAATCATATTCCATATTAAAGGTACTTTTTCTATTGCAAACCGATACTTCCAATTTGTTTATTTTATACATGTGCTAATTTCTATACTACTATTAATGTCTGATAATTTCTTTTTATGTTGTTTAATACCTTACTATGTGTTGTATATTGTGGGTAAGTTTCATAAAATTCCATGTGTAATTTCTTGAGTTATCGCGATTTTTGTGAATTTTCCTTAATTTATGATAACCAGTGTATTTTTATTATAGTTTTATAGAAACTATTTGTCTGAGAATTTCTGATGCACCTTATAAACGAAAACTGTCAACCTCTTAATTTTAAATATACAAGAATATAATAATATAGACAGAGTACAAGAATATAATAATATTGCCAGATAATTACAATGAAATGAAAATTTAATATTAATTTTACCTGAAATCTGGTATTCATATGCTCACACAAAGTCTGTAAATCTTCTAAACCTTTTTTAAATACTTCAGCTGCAGGAACACCTTAAAAAAACGAATTTTATTAATATTTGTAGTATCTAGCTAACATTTTGAATATATCAAAATGTATACTGCACAACCGGGATGAGCTTTTAGTGGGTGAAAGGGTATGACCGATTTGATCACACCATTCTAAAATCTTACTGACGCTTGATAACACGCATGTCAGAGCCTGTACGCGACACATTTAGATAAACATAAAACGAAAAACATACATCAGATAGTAGTACCAAATACATATGTGCAAAATCAACAAAATAGGACTGATGAAAAGTATGATGCATAGAACACTGCCTTAAGGAACACCTTCAGTCTGAATGAAGAAAATTTAGTTTTTCACAAAAATGCCGCTTTGAGAGAAAGTTCTTGAGGAAAATAAGTAAATTACCACGAAGTCCCATGTAGTAGAAAATCTTAAGACTTCCTTATCGCAATGTCTGATTGTAAGTCTTCTTAATATCAAAATAGATAGAGACAAAAGCGTTGCGAATTTGTGACTTTATAGCAACTACGATACCAATTGTGTATCTTCCTGAATGAAAACCACTTTGGTATGAGATGCTTTTTTTTTCCTAGGTAGAAGAGAGAGTCAACCATGCTTTTCGAGCAATTTATTAACACATGGGACGGTAGCTAATGGGGTTCTTAGTGTCCTTGCCTGGTTTTAAACTGGGAATCACAATAGCCTTGAGTAAATTAATAACAAAGAAAACAGAAATTTCTAATTTCTTTTTGATTTATAGTTAAAACTGCAGTGTAAAGATAAATACCCTAGTTGAATGTTATTCCCTACATAATAACAAGAGAAAAAAAATTTTATACCATAAAATTTATTTATTAAAAATACTATTTAAATAAAATTTCGCGAACAACTATCTAAATGATATTTAAAGGCTTTTACCCTCGTCACTGCACTCAACCACCAAAGAAATAGAAGTTAAACATATGTATAAATCTCTCCTATTTAACTTCCACATTATAAAATGATAAGCGTTACTTGCTTTGCTAAACAATACCTATAAAAACACTTAAAATACAAAGAAATTTCTTAATAAGAATAAAAGATATTTAGCATGCGGTGTTCTTGAATTTCAACAAAATTTCATTTTTATTAGTTTAAACAAAAAAGTAAATTTAAAAGTTTAAAGTAAATTTCAGAAAAGGACCGAAAACACACACAGCGGAACCCCGATTTTACCTTTTCTGTCGGACTAGCATTAAAAAATGCACAAAATGGGAAAACATAAAATCAGGAAAAAATATTAAGTATATTTTTTTAAAACTGACGCTTACAAGATGACTACATGGGTGCAAGTTGGAGAAAAGGACAACTGAAAATTTATTCTGACAAAAATTCCCAACACACATAATACTCAATCGACATATGTAAAATATCTAAGAAAGCTCCACCATAATATATCAAATTTAAATACCGTACAAAAAAATATCTGTTTATCTCTTCCCTTAATAAAATAACGGGACAGGAGCAAAAGAAAGTACACCCATATAAATAATGAATGCATTTCTACTTACTAAATTATATCATTAATTGCAATTTTAAGATTCCCACCATAAATATTTACATTTCTAATGAAAACATATGGCAAATGTCATTTACTTTTAACTGACTAAATTTCTTATCAAACATTCATTTTAAACTACAATTCATATATCATGTAGGCAAAGATACAGCTGGGAGTTTTTTCAAGGAGTGATTTTATTTGTACAATGAAATTAATTTTAGAGGAGTGAAATAAATACAAGAAATTGAGAACTACAAGAAGAAGGGCAATAAAGACAGAAGTATTTAATATAATTTAAACATTCGAATAATGTTTACCAGACACAACGCTTCGATTTTCCCCTATCCACACTCTCAGTGACTATGTCCAAACAAGTAGGTAAAAAAATAAAGCAATCTTGAACATTAGAAAGAGCAATTTATTCTGCACCCTCATACTGAATGTGTGCTGCAGTCGATATACACATCAGAAGATAATCAGTCATGTAATTTCATTCTGAAAGATCGACATTCCAATCGGATACCAAGAAGCCTGTGCATTTTAGTCAACACTGTAGAAATAAAAACCAGAGCTTAAAAAAAATTTATTTTTGCTTTTGAAACATCTTGGAAGCCAAAGAAATGAAGAAAAAAAGCATTACCTAACCAGTTGTCTAGTGAAGCATTCTTTAAATAACTGGATTATTTCTAAGATTCAAAGGTTAAAAAAAATTCCACTTGAAAATTTTACACCTTAAGTTCCCATACTTCCTTTAACCACCCTTCTTATGCTTCTCCTACCCAATAACCTTTCTGATTTTGACTCGAGGGGTAAATTATCTTTCACAGACAAAAGGACTGTAAGATAGAATGTCAGAACAGTTAATAAACAAGTATCTTTTTTTTAAGGAAAGAAAAAAGAATTTGGAAAAAGTTCGTATGTGCTTTGTAAATAAAATATTATTATGATCTGTTAGGAAATCGTATAAAGAGATATTTTTTAAAAAGGTCTACGTCGATGGTCCACTAAGATTTTGCTGAAGACCTCGTTGCCCGGATATCCGTAGCAGCCGACACCACAAAAGAGATGCATGACGCTTTCACCAATGTATAGCAGTAACTCCTTCGATGGTGCTAAGCTTGTGTATATGTTAGCAATTTCCAGTTGCTCACGTGATAGGGGATTTATTGTTTAATTTCATTATTCATTTTATTTCTTTCTTTTATTCTATCTCTGTCTTGTCTTTATAACTCATAATTTTGTAACAGCATGTTTTGTGACCTAGCACTTTACGACTTGCACTTCGACCATGGATTGTATGGTGATCTGCGATTGTCTAATTGTGTTTTAGCAACCTGCATATGCACACACACATATATATATATAATTCAGTAACTATACTAATCTTTATTTCATAAATAAGTAATCGTTATATTATAACTTACGTTTTGTTTGAATTCTGAAATTAATGTCATGGACAGAAGGATGAGGTACAGAATATCCACAATATTCAACTTCTGGGCTAAAACAGTAATAAAATATATATTTGAGTATTATTCTAATCTTTGAGTAAAGAATTGAAAAATAACAGACAGGGAGAGCCTAATTAATAGAAATACATTAAAAGAGAAAATATTGTCAGAATTTAAATTAAAAAATGCTTTAATAATAAGTTTTTAAGTTGCAAAAGAATAAACCCTTGATGTTTATAAATAAATTTCGTTAAAACCCTATATATTTATTCCTTTGTATCTTCAAGAACAAACTGTTTACACAGACTACACAATAGAACAGACTATAATAAATCAGAAATATATAAAATAACTATAACAATCTATAAATAATAATAACTGTAGCAATTCAACAAATTTTCCTAAAATTAATCTTGCTACTGAACAACTTTGAAACTTTTGTAGTAAACCACAAAAAATTAAATTATGCAAATGATTAAGTTATGCATTCAAATTAATAAATGAATAAATTTACTTAAAAAATCTTTTAGTTATCTAGAGTATTTTGCTATGGGCAAATCTGTGGATAAAAGTTTTATAAAAATTTATTAAAAATAACTGCAATATTGTCAATTGAATTAAAAATTTATTTTAACATCTCAAATAATCTAAACACATATATATGGAAGGAAATTTAATTCAATTAAAAGTTATAAAGTCCTAAAATGCTTAAAAATAATTAAGAAATTCCAGACAACGGAAAAGTGAAAGTCAAAATTTCAGAAAAATATGGTTTTTCAACATAGTCAACTGATGTTAAAAAATATCCAGCATGTGACGGGAAAAAGACACATCGGGTAACCTTCACTTGGCTGCAGTTAATTAAAAAACAATCGATATAAAAAAATCAACGGAAGGTTAAAAGGCCAACAAGGTTAAAATAAATAAAACTGAGAAAACTAAGTAGACCTGAACAATAAAGTTTACATTTCAATAAAAAACTATGAAACTAAATTGATAAAGTTAAAAGTGGAGAAATTTGATGCAGCGATATTTACACTATCCTCCCTAGAAAAGGGGGGGGGGAGATCTTGCTTACATTTGAATTTTGAAAACTTAACAAAAATTTAACCACAAAACGACTGAAGGAATAGAACACAGCTAGAAAAGACTGCCAGAAAAATCAGCAGCATCTCCCAAACCAAAAAAGGGACAACAAAAGACTAACATTTTTAGTATTATTCATTATAGACAAAACATTGTAAGAATTTTACTCAGCAGTCCATATTTTTAAACATCATTTCAATTATCTGAATGCAAAAATTTAATGATTTAAAAAAAATTTAAATGCAAATAAGTTGAGTTTTTATTTAAAAAAATGAATCCTAAATAAGATGGATAAATAGATGGTAAAATGTGAAATTAATTTTAAATAAATATTTAAAAAAAATTATGGAAGTTAAGCCAAATTATAATTAACTAAAGATTTATTAAAATCACCAAATTAACTAATGTAAAACAAAATTAATGATAAAAAAATATATTTTATACCTAGTAATTATAAGTAAGAAAGAAAATGATAAAATACAATAACTTATTAATCAAATTAAATAAAATCAACACTTTCACCAGACAGAAACGAAAAACAAAAGAAGCGTTAATTTTAAAACCCAGGACAAAGCAGGATATAATGTGATTAACTGTTTTTTTTTTTCTTCTTTTTAAATCTTTATCATAAAATGCATGAATAGAAAGAACTAATTTATGAAGTACAAAATTTGTTGCACACAGGGGAAAAAAACTCAAAATCAAGTGGAATCACTTGGTAAAATGAGAACGCTGTAATCCGCTTTATAAATTATGGTCTGCTTTTAGCAATAAATACTCCTATGCTTATGAATAAACAATATTCTGCTTTAATTTTTTTTACCAAACAAAAATAATTGAAAAAGCAGACTATTTATTTTACAGAGATCAGAAGAAGAAATCCAAGGAGTATCCAAGGAGTCCAAAATTTGAAGGACTTATCAAAAATTTAAAAACTTTGTGTGAAAGTTAGTTTTTTTAAAAAATTAAAAAGCAGCTATTATAAGGAACTTGCAAAAATGTATATTTTGAATTTAATTTCTATCTCTTTTGAAATAAATTTTGACTTTGTCAAACTTCGTCAAGAAAAATAAATTAAGTTATCACTTTGACACACAAATACATTTTCCAATTTCAAATATTTTAATAAATCTTGTTAAAGTACAGATGTTAAGGATTGACATAAAAACCTACCAATCTTATATTTTTAAATTTGAATACATGAGAAAATCTAAGGCATTTTATAGCAAGAAAAAAAAATCACAGCAAATTATTAATTAAGTTTGCTTGTAACATGTAAAATTATTTGCTGTTATTTTTCTTCTTCTAACTCTTGCCATTCAATTTTTATTATTTTAAAAGTTTTCTTGAACTGCTAGACTTTGACAGCTAAGTCATATCCAGTGGTGCAAGTGGCTAAACATGGCTTTGGAGCAACAAAAAAGCAATTTTGAAGCAGTGAAACGAAAATTTGGAGCATATGTAATAAAAAGAATTAAAACAAGAATTTAATAACAAGAATTTTCAATTTTGTTCATTAATAATGTGTCTTATTTTTTTTTCATTTTTATGAAGGTCCCTGCATTAAAAAATTAAGTTTCTATTTGGTATCTTCCAATGCTGTTAAATATTCTGCTATCCTCGATTTTTCCTCAGATAAGAGGATCTGTTTGCTTTCTGTAATCGACATGTCTTTATTACTTAACCCATCTTTAATATTTTTTTCAGCTG